CGCCTCGTGGGTTGTTATTGTGTGGGGGCCCCGCCAGTCCGGTGAGTCGAGTGTAGAGAGCATAGGGCCTAGGCCAGAATCGAACCACCGTTGGGTTGGCTCCTCGGTACGGTGGTGGCTCTGTCCGACTGGTGACCGACCGTGGTCCGTCCGTCATATTCCCGGTTTGAAAGCAAGGTTGCGACTAGTTGTTGCGACGCAGGAAGGTGTAGTGATTCGTGTGCGGAGTTGCAAACGGGTCTGCCGGCCATGGAGAAGCGGATCTTGCTCGAAAAACGGGGAAGAAACCCCGGCGAAGTAAGCCGAACCCCACTTATCTCATATCGCACCGCTTTGCCTCGACACGAGACGAATACTACCCGCGGGTCGTGTTGCTGCGTGCTTGCTGGTTCTATCGTGTGCAGTTCTCCGAGAGCGGCTACAGAAAGAATCGTGTTCCCTCGCGCGACACCGACACCACGCACTGCTCTGCGGGCACGCCACTGGCTCCTCGAAGACGCACGAGAACTCGGATTTCTTGACGGCGACCGCGTGGCTCCGACGATTTATCGGCCAACAAGACGTGTTCTCGATGCCGACACGAGATGCTACGACTGCCACCAGAGTAACAGGCATGGCGTGGCTAGCTTCAACCGCTTGTCTCCTTCGTTTTTCGTCACCTCTCTGTACGACAATCGCGGCTTTTTTCCCCCCCGTGTTTCCTCACTGAGATTACCGCGCGCGTCCTTTTTAATGCATCGCTGGAAAAACGATTCGGTTAGGGAGAACTCCCAGCTCGGTTGTATTCGTATCGTATCATAAACTGGAAAACCGAGAAACTCGTTAGCCGATTGGTTGACCGAATTCAATGAACACTCGATTAACCAATCGTTTAACAAGTTTTTCCAAGTTTTTCCAGCGTACCAGGCTTTCTACCGAATTGCGAAGGCTCCCTTATCGTATCGCTGATACGTTGTATTACGTTCATAGAGAAAGCACAATGCAACCCGCAGTTAAATACGTTTGAACTTGAATTATTTTATTAACCACAAAACGTATGTATATACGTGTATATATATGTACGCTACGTCTTGCTGATTTGTGATGTAATACATCGCAGAATCAACGTCGTTGGCATAGAAAGTAAAACATGTTTAATCAATGGAGACATTGCTCTCTATGACTAATTTTTTTTTAGTGTATATATTTATATGCTCATTTTTAAAAATTACGAAAATCGTACGAGCACTTCAACAGGTTTTGGACTTGTTTACGCGTAATATGTTTGTCTTTCTTAATTACAGCTTGAACGAAATAATTTTATATCTAATTTCTTCAGAAATTTCGCTCCTAGAATTTTTCTACCAAAGAAAATTTTCAAAATTAAAATATTTTTAGTTAATATTTCTGTTATCTTATGTTTTCTGTACTGATGCAACATTTCAGAAAAAATTTTATTCATTTTCAAAAATTCATTGAACAAAATTAATGATCGTTTAAATTATTGAAATAATAAATTTTTAAAAAATTAAATTATTTAAATAACAGAATATTCTGTGTATCGATAAATTGAATTTTTCAAACGCTTAAGTAATTAGGATGATAAATGATTGTTTCTTATTTAAACTGCCGTGTTTTATACGCAAGTCGTGTGATCAAATTATAGCGTGGCGTGGCTGTCTCTAGGAGCCCCTCTTTTTAAACTACCGTGCATTGTACGTGTGTTCCTATTAACAGGAGTCACCATATCTTCGCAGTTCGCTCGCGAGCCATTTCAGAAAATTATTTATTCACGATATTTTAAAATATTTATTCTTGACTCTTATTTAACCACGGGATTTCTATGCAACGCAATAGCGAAGTGCATATGTATATAAAAAGGCTTTGGACAAGATGGTGCCCCTTTCGAACGAGTTTCGAAACATATGCAACCACTCATAAGTCACGGTTACTTTACACGTAAAGTATTATGTCAGAACTTAATAGTCCTTTGACCGCGATTTTCGTTATTCTAAGAACATTCAATTCGTCAAGGTCAAACAGACGCTTGAACTTGAAAATATTTATAAAACAATAAACTTGAACTATTATGTTCTACTCTTTCGTGACGCACGTTTGTCAAACGGTACCTATAAAGAAGAAATTTTAATCGATTAATTTAAATGGGAAAAATAAAGTAAAGTTCTATCGACAAGATGACGTGTAAAGTTAAAGAAGACTTCATCTGTTACATTCAATCTGGGTTAAAAGATGCAACAAATCGTTACAGTGTGCTGTACAACAAATCACTTAGCGATAAACATACTTTTACATTTTCATAATATACGCATTAAAATATAGTCGCATTCGTGAGGTTAACACATTGATAAATTTATTTTTAGACAAAATTTCCCGTATATTCCATGTGTTTCAAACGTTTTTTCACCGGTGTAAAGATATATTATGTAAATCAATTATCAACGAGAAGAGTTGTGCGTGCCATGAGGTGCTGCCATGAGATGCGCGTGCGAGTGGACATCGCCATTGTTTTCCGGTGCGCGCGAGTGCTTCTTAAATATTTAGACTTTTGTTCATCTTGCAAAGGGTACATATGTTTCAAAGTGTTTTCGATTATTTCAGTGCGTAAAGAGAATCCTAAATCGACCGCTCGATTACTCGTGTATTTTAATCTACGGCCGTGTTTCGTAGCATATTACTGATCACCGTGCAGCCATCTTGGACGAGTCCACTCTGTCACCAACTGACACGCGTACGTTTCGAAACAATAACAAAAATTAAAATGAGCACGTTCCGTACATTTTACTTCACGTAACAAATTTTACAGCATTAATTATGCAACACTTTACACTTGTGTGACTTTCGATTCGATACATTTCATGTGGAATATTTATGCGTGGGCGTTTGCATCGCGTTAACCACCGGCATTGCGATGCAATTCGTTTAGCAGTGCTGTGCCTACTACATTATGAGCCATTGTACTAAAGACCATACTGTTTTCTCTCCTCGATACTTTTTTTTTATCAATGTATACTTTTATTTTGTAGTATATTATGAAAATAGCAAAATTATAGATATTTATATAATACATGAGTTCAATAGTAATTTTTAAATTAAGCATTAATAGATGAAAGACAAATATTTTTCCTTTTTATTTTATTCCTAAAATTTTGTATTCAGAAGTTATTCAGCAAAATGGTTCATTTAATACGGAAGTTTTATCAAACATCCATTTCTTGTATCCATCTTTGAGTTAACTCGTAACTGTCATTGATTCGTTCCTATAAGCCACGACGACTCGTAAACGCTTCCACTATGATCAGTGCAACGCACGACGCAGCCAATCAGTCGGTCGGAATGTCGGGCAGTGAATTTAAGATAAGGACATACGACGACTCCGAGACTTCGTGTGAAAGCGATTCGTCGTGACTAAAGATTGCTACGCAACAGCGTATTAAGATTTGTAAGGGTGCGTTTAGACCGATCGAGCGAATGCTCGTTCTGCTGCCACTTCGAAAAAATCGAAGTGTAAACGAGCATTATTTCGCCGAGCGGTGATCAATCTAAGCCGTACGTGAACGAATGCTCTAATAATATGGACGCACTTTCGACGAGCCAAGTCGATACTAGTCGATTTGGCGGGATTCCTTTCGACTTTGAGTCAACATAAAATTTCCACTCGATTCAATGCGATTTATTTCGATAGGATTCAGTTCGAATCGATTTAACGCGATTTGACTCGGCGCATTTAATTCAACATCATTCAATTTAACGTGATTCACTTCGACACATTATAATTCGACGTGATTCAATTCGATACGAATCGGTGTGATTCGAGTCGATTCAATTCGGCGTGGTTTAATTGACTGTCATTTGATTCGATGCAATTCAATTCAGAGCTTTTTATGTTGAAAACTATGAACATTCGCTTTGATGTGGCAGTTTGTTCAAAAACGAGCGCGAATGTCTTACTGCACACTAATATTCATAAATTTGAATCTACAGCAGATAGCCATTAGCAAATGAATCTCTCGATGGAACGAGTATTTCGCAGACAATTGTACAAGCAGTAACATGATCATGTATATTTGATGTAGCATACAGATGTAGATTGGTATAGGAAATATTAGTTAATCTTGAGTTGAAATGAATCCACATAAAATAAAAACTCAAGATAACTTTGATTCCGTTGCGTCGCGTGCCGCAGTCAGTACTTATTGCTTACCGGCTTTTCTGATGCCGCTAAACAAGACGCGTCGTGCACTCTACTGCCATCCCCCCTGTATCCCAAGAATCCCCTCGCACTTCTCCACCCGCTGTTTCTCTGCTGTCTCCTTTCTATCTACTCTCTCACTCTTTACCTTTCTCTTTCTCCGATCAATAAAATAGCCCATCTCCCGCGAAAGCTTATCGTCCGTTTGAATTTCAACGACTATTATCCAACTTTTTTCTTCCGCGTTGAAATTTCATTTTTACACCTTCCAGCTGATGTATGTTTGCAGCAATAATTAAGAATACAATCGACAGTGCGTATTTGTCGACCGATCGCTATCATTCTAAATGATCAATTATGTACAAAAATATTACATGTATACATATTAATTTTAATTAAATAATTTTTATTTCATTCTTCAACCTTTTGCACACAATATTGTGTTCCTTATAAAGTATCATTACACATTTAATTTTTATTGTATACAAATATGTAACAATATTTATTATATATTTATTTTTTGTTTGTAAAAATTTTATTAATCTGACACAGGTATTTATGTATAAATTATTTCCTTCTTTCAGATCAAAGAACTAGTTCTTGACAACTGTCGGAGTACGCATATTGAAGGTCTGACAGATGAATTTGTCGCGTTAGAAACACTAAGTCTTATCAATGTGGGTCTTACCAGTCTAAAAGGCTTCCCAAAACTATCAAATCTTAAGAAGGTAAAGAATATTTTGATCAAATAAAACAGTATAAAGAAATAATAAAAGAAGATAAGTTATAAGTATTCTTATTTCATATAGTTGGAACTAAGTGACAACAGAATCTCTGGTGGTCTGAACCACCTCCAGTCGAGTCCTAAGCTAACTCATCTTAATCTTAGTGGAAACAAGATCAAAGATCTTGACACACTTCAACCCCTAGTAAGTTTTGATGTATTAAATGTAATTTATACACACACATGTGTTGTGTAGGTATATTAAGAAATATGTTCTGTCTTGCAGAAAGAATTTAAGAACTTGAAGAGTCTGGATCTCTTTAACAATGAAGTGACAAACGGAGATAATTATAGGGAGAAAGTTTTTAGCCTTATTCCCAGTCTTCGATGTCTTGATGGGTATGTATTTCATAACACCATTATTTATATGACAAGTTTATTATATGATTTAATAATGTCTTTTCTATGTTACAGATTTGATACAGATGACTGTGAGGTTGATGATAGCGAAGGAGAGGATGATGAAGTAAATGGAAATGAAGATGGGGATGGAGATGCTAATGAGGAAGATAGCGAGGAAGGTTGGTTGCGGTTAATAATTACAATGACACGATTTAAATTAATTTAATGTCATACAATCGAAAAGATTTAATCATAAATATTAAATTTTAGTTTCAGACGAAGAAGATGACGAAGATTTTGACGATGGCGTAGGTTTAGAAACTGTGTACAAGGCTGGTCTCGAGGTAAATACATTTTATTATTTTTTGTCAAATTTTATTTATTGAAACCTTGTTAAATTTGATTGATTAATGTGATGCAGGATGAAAGTGATGAGGATGACTTCCTTTGTGACGAAGAAGAAGAAGACGATGATGATGACAATGACGATGATGAACAGGATGAAGAAGAAGGTAAATGTTTCAAACGTTAATTAATTTATTATTTTTAATTGAAATATGGGGTAAAGAAAAGGTATCGTTTGTTCGCGATACATAAAGTAGTTAAAAAAAAAAATATCAAATTGAAAAAAATAAGTGATTTATCATATTACATATTATGTAGAGTCATCTCCAGCTCGAGGTAAAAAGAGAAAACATGAAGATGGAGGCGACTCAGGGAACTAGAACCATAAAGAGCAGGTTTCTGATGCTGTTGAATGAGTGTAAAATTCGTATAAATAATAACAATAATTGAGACGCCGAGTGAACACCTGGGAATCAAACTAATTGACCGACCAATGACAGACTACAGTTAGTGGTGTGAATTTATCAGTAAAATGATTGACTGACAAATTGTCTGTGGAATAACAAACGATTAACCACGGCAAAGAAGAGGAATGTGAATGAAAGAATTAAAAGGATAATGATGGCATAAAATAAGACTGCATTCCAGCTGGACACAGCGCGTTTTAGTTGTACTAACGATATTTTATATAGAGTATATAGTTAGAGTATTAGTGGTGTTGCATAGTGGGTGTGAAAGATCAGATATTGAAGGACTTGGAGAAGGCAACAATGGAGTTTTACATATGAAGGAGCATATTTGTCTGTTAGCTCCAGTCGGCCAAAGGCTGGTCACGCTGGAATGCAGTCATCGTTAATCAGTACTGAGGTTACATAAGTTACATTTTAAATACATTATTATTGTACCATGAATAAGTATAGAGTAAATGAGGAACAACTTTTGTACAGGTTTACACCATACATTGAGGTGCATTACGCCTCTGTGATTTTTGGGACAGAAAATAAAGAGATAAATATATGTTGCTCATACATTGAGCTTATATCTATGAAAGACGTATTAAGATAGGAATCTACATCATAAGAACGAAGAAATGAAAAAAAGTATGTACATTTCGTTTATTAGAATTAATAGCGATTGAGAAATTGTATAATTGATATCGTCTAAAAGAAAAGAATCAGTTTAGAACATAAAGATTATCCTAGTATTTTCATTTGTTTTGATATGAGCGACAAATACTATCGGTATTTCAAGAAATATTAATCCTGAGAAAAAGCGAAGAAACAACGCAAAAATAGAAACAATTAAGATCGTGCTAGTATCTTGACTTGAAATTTTTGTTTAGTAAATTTTAAGTTCCGGATGTTTATGTACAATAAGCCACGTATATTCCATGGCTGTTAAGATTATTGTTATTTACTCTTGGGCATTCCATGGCTACGTGTTATGCTCTAACATAACATAAAACACATCTGATTAGTAACATTATCATACTGTCTTTCCATTTCAAATTGCAGACGTTCAGCTATAACCGTTAAATGTTTTTTATACTACTAAGTCGTACAATTTTTTACAATAACTATAGAAATACTTGTTGAATAATATAATTTCTACCCAGCAAGTCTAAGTGTTTGACATATAGGGTACCGAAGGAAAGGAAACAAAAACAAAATTACTATAAATCCATAATTACCTTTAATTTCTGTCTCTGAAGTTACCATAGCGCTGACACATCTCGTGATGATTAAAGTGCGAAGTTAATGGGTAATGATCATTAATATTATTATTAATATTAAATTACAATATGATTTTAAAAAAATAATAAATATTTACACTTGCGCTTTCGCACTTCTGAATTGTATTTAAAGAAAAGAAAAGAAAAGAAAAAGGGAAGAAAAAAACTCGGAATCGCAAAATTTAGATTAGAGCGAAAAGACAAAATCTCGAGAAACAGGCGCAAAAATAAGAAACAAAAAAAAAGGTGGATCAGACGATGTAGTTAATGGTGAGACTGTGGTACGTGGATTACTGGACGGACTACCGATTAACTACGTGATCGTGAGAATGGATGGGAGTGAAATAGCGAGTGAGAGTGCAAGAGAGGATCGATTTTATAATAAAAAAAAAAAGAAAGAAAACAAGAAATTATGGTAGAGTCGAGGATCTGGCGCCTCTTTGTCGCCAGTTTGGTTATGGCCTTATCCAATTTTTCCAAGACTAAAGCAAATTTATATTAGGTACAATGAGTATATTACATGTACAGGTCCAAATCTGTAAATTTCCAATCTGCAATTTGTAATTGCGGCTCGCGCGGATGTCTTATTAAAAGTTAAATTATAAATAATTAAGAAATTGAATTATAAATAATTAAAACATTCCGCGCGTCCCGCGACACGTACACTTTTGTCAATTGCAATTTTGGATAGACCATTTACGTAAGGAAAAAATCTATCACCTATCAGATATATTACATCTCCTGTATTGTCTGCCTGTTCCGTTGTTAAAGTGAATTTTTATCATAACGTTTGTTTATTTCGAGCAATCCTCATCACAAAATAAGAAAAAATAATTTATTAATAAAATCATTTACAAATCAACAATTATACTTAATACTATCGATCCGTTTTTATTAATCAAATACAATTTGTAGCATGAATTTTAATTATTTAAAAATACCAATATTTTTCATTATTTATTACAATTTCCTGATGACTTGTATTTTTTCTTTTTTGTTTACAATAAATCATTTGTTTTAAAATACGCCGTTAAGTAAACGTAACATATTTTAATTTATGCTAGACATCACCTATATAACGTGGTGTTACGTCTTTAGTCGTTAATATTCCTTCATTTCGTTCGTAATTTTGTTGTCTCCGTTACTTTTGAATTATTGCTCGCTCAGTAATTCAATGTATGTATTAAAGAGTTATCTAAAATATTGATTTTCAAATTACCTTCAACCAAATGCCGGAGATCCTTATATGCATGCTGCTTTCTGAAAATTTACGAAATTAGAGATATGAAAATTTCAAGTTTATTACAATTTTCTTTAGTTGAAGGAAAATGCACTCGCCTTGATGTCTATATTTTTCTATTTCCTTTGGTACTTCAAGCTCCTAGGCTTCTTATAGGTTCCCCTGGGATTTCTAAACAATAATGATGAGACACCATATACCTATTTTTAGTCAAATTACCTTTCCCAACAGTACACTTCGGTGAAATGTAAACTTCCTCCAAATAAAAGCTCTAGTGACGCGGGCTTCCCGCCATTGGAGGACGTTCCCGCCATTTTCTTCTCATTTTGCACTATAAGCAAAATTGGAATATATGAATTTTGATATCATCAGATTTTAATTTCCTAAATTTCCAAGTTTCAAATTCTAGAAGTTTTTAAAGACCACAACCTCTAAATTTCCAAATTGCTAGAATTTTTAATCTTGTAAATTTCCACATTCTAAAATCCTGAAGTTCTCATTTTGAAAATCACTCTCCAAACGGTATTTATCAAGAATATGATTTCTCCTGCGCCGCCATATTCCCTAGGGAAGCCAACCATTCTTCCCGGTGTACCAACAGCCAGCAGTGCATGGTGCATCGTGGACGGTGCTGCCAGTATGCGACTGCTCGTGGAAGCGTAAGGAGCGAACCTCGGCGCGCAGTTTCGTGTCGACTCTTTAGTGTTTCTCCGCGCTTCCGTTCGTGCGTTTTGGTTGTGGTTCGGTGTGAAAGAAAGTAACGTCGGCCAGACTTGAAAATTGAATTTAGTGTTCTGGAGAGGATTGTTTGTCGCCGCTTTTCTAGTACCGTGAAAGAAAATGGCTGAAAGTAAGGGTGCGTTGATCGCGAAGACAGTGCAAAAACATGCAGGCAGAGCGAAGGAAAAGGTAAGTAAAGACGTATATTTGTATGTATGTACGTTCGTAACAGGTTTCCTCGGACGGCATGTCAGTCGATCGAACACTTTCAACAGAATTGCGCCCTTTTTAACCGTTTCGACCTCGTACTTCTTTTACGCGTTTGACTTTTTCGATCGTTCTTTATTATATTTTAAATGTCGTTACGCGTTGCGTGCTCATAACCTCTCGTTATCACTTGCAGCTGTTAAAATTTGACACTTCGCGTTCGACGTTTGCGCCCCACCAATCTTTTCTACGATTTTTCAAACGGACCGGTAATTTGTTAGATTTTTCTCCTGCTCGTGCAAAGGTGACTTATATAATCGATAAACACGTACCAGTTATATAGCATAGCTTCATTTAAAATGACAATTATGCAACTCTTGGTTGAGCGTAATACAGTATATATATTACAGGTAGATCTTCGAAATCACACTCTCTGGTAAAATCAACGCCAGATTGTCACGTGACGCGAATATTCTCCAGTCGCTTACTGAACGTTTCTTGCAAATTTCTTAAAATAAACTCAATCGTAATTTCATTACGCAGATATTCTCCGCCGTTTAAATCCTATTTCCTTTGAATTAATTTAACGAATCATCGTGAAAGAATCGATGATGTATTTGACAGATTCGATAAGATAGTGGGAGGAAATTAATCAAACTATATAATCAATTTCCAATTGATCAAGTTCCTACCTTTAGCTGTCCAAAGTTAAACGTAAGCCCCAAAGTTATTCGCGAATATCTTCTTACAAATCAATTTTATGAAAAAAATAGTTATTATGAAATTTATAGTTTAGAAAATTTCCTACAAAAAAGGTTCTATCATGTTTCTTCGTACGAGCGACTGTTTTACGTCTAAGATCATCATTACAATAAGACTACTGTCATCGATAAATGTCGATAATATCGTTAAGGCGATTGAATGACTAAAGCAGAGCGCGCAATTTTACGACCACCTAATTATTTTTATTCGAAATTAGACAAGATCTAAAATTGCAATAAAAATAAATTGACTTTAATAAAACCTAACCTAATGACCCAAAGGAATTTTTCCATTTCCTGCGCTAGCAAGCCTTCGTTAAAACTTGAAAGCAAGTGGGTCATGCAGGTATCGTTAATTGCCTGGCGAGGGCATCCCAGTTTTACATTTTGATTTTCAGCAAAAGAAAAATTATGTCTCGTGCAACGTACCGTATGATCGTGTAAATTCGTAGGTGTTTTAACTCGCTTTCATAATGTTGGTTGTACGGAGACTTATCTGGTAGAACCGGTCCATGCTATTGCCGTGTGCTAGAGTTACCACTCTCGTCCCGTGCTAACAGGGAACCTTAAGTCGAGAAAAAGAAAAAAAAATTGATGTTCCACTAAAGAAAACAGTAGGTGAAAATCCGTGTCACTCTTTGATGAAACTTTACGCGTTAACCGAGACGGATTTTTTTCCTGCAAATTACTTGTAACGTAATTACTATATATGACTGAGCATTCATAATCGGTGAACAGGAAAAATTTTAGAGGGAAAGGCCGGGTATGGAAATTAACATGGCGGACTTGCGGTCATGGAGATGGCAGTTGGAAATTTGGGAATGTAGGAATTTGGGGATTTGCGAGTTTGGGAATTAATTTTGGTATATTGGGAATTTAGGGATTTGGGGATTTAGGGAATTAGTTGGGAATTTAGGAATTTGGGAATATGGGGGTTTGGGAATATGGGAATTTGGAAATATGGGGATTTGAGAATTTGGGCATTTGGGAATATGGGAACTAGAGAGTATGGGAACTAGGGAGTATGGGAACTAGGGAGTATGGGAATTAGGGAGTATGGGAACTAGGGAATATGGGAACTAGGGAATATGGGAACTAGGGAGTATGGGAACTTGGGAATATGGGAACTAGGGAATATGGGAACTAGGGAATATGGGAACTAGGGAGTATGGGAACTAGGGAGTATGGGAACTTGGGAATATGGGAACTAGGGAATATGAGAACTAGGGAATATGGGAACTAGGGAGTATGGAAACTTGGGAATATGGGAACTAGGGAATATGGGAATTTGGAAATATAGGGAATTTAAAATTTGAAAATTTATCAATTTAATGATTTGCAAATTTGAAGTCTAATGATTCCAATATTTGGAAACTAGGGAATTGCTCTAATATATAAATTTGCAACTGAGAGTTTGAGGTTATGAAAGATATAACCTTACAGAACAACTGTTGCATTCAAATGTTAGGTTAGATTATACAGTCAATAAGATAGAGGGCGAATCACCAATTAAGAATAATTCCATCCAATGAAACCATCACAACAAATCACTATTGATTAGATATAACAGGGTAAACCTCACGGAGTTCAATAACCTTGATACACATTTTGTATTATAGAGGTCAGTTTCCCAACAATGAGTCATTTTGTCTATGCACATAACCTTCAATTTTACTATCAAAAAAACATAAGAATATTTATTATATTATTCATTTTTAAAAATTTTCCTCAACATGTTCCAATGACTAATTTAAGATTTTAATAATTACCTACAGTATTTTATAAATTTGATTTAATTTTCACGTGTCAAAAGTTTGATGTGGGTCAAGATTGACGCCATATTGGAAGTCATAAACTAAACAGTTGGCTTTTCGCGGGTTAAGAAAATAATTGAGTTCCTTGAAACGCTATAAGGGAATGATTATTTAAATTATTTCCTGCGAAAGAAAATGAACTTATAATACGCGATGATAAGAAGAAAGATTGCTCTTTGCGTTGGAAGATCAATGAGTCTATAACGTTGTAGGCTAATGTATATCCGTTCTAAGAATATGGTTATCTTCCTGCTTCAAATAACGAGCTGTCAAATCGTTCTGAAGTAGCTTTTCAAGGTATTCTGCATGAAGCCGTTCAAAGACTTTTGGTCTTCGAGAGCTCTCTTTAGGTTTGCTATCTTTTCACATTTATTTTATTGTTTAACTAGATATTCCTTGGGCAGCAATTTTGGGTAAGGAAATTTTGGTGATTGAGAGTTTAGGGAATTACAAAATTTGGGAATTTAGAAACTAGGGAATTTGGATATTCCTAAATAAGGAATGGTAAATATTTGAATTTGACTAGATCTGGAAATTAGTATATTCAAAATTTCCTAGATTGCAAAATTCCTAGACCTTCCAAAACCTAAACCCCTAATTCCCTAGACCTTCCAAAACCTAAACCCCTAATTCCCTAGTCCTTCCAAAATCTAAATCCCCAATTCCCTAGACCTTTCAAAACCTAAATTCCCTAGATCTTCCTATATCTAAATCCCCAATTTCTTAGACCTTCCAATACCTAAATCCCCAATTCCCTAGACCTTCCAAAACCTAAACCCCCAAATCCCTAGACCTTCCAAAACCTAAACCCCCAATTCCCTAGACCTTCCAAAACCTAAATCTCCAATTCCCTAGATCTTCCAATATCTAAGTCCCCAATTCCCTAGACCTTCAAATATCCAAATCCCCAGTTCCCTAGATTTGGAAATCTCTAAAATTTCAAATACTTAATCTCCAAATCCCTATATCCTAAAATTCCCACACCCTAAAATTCCTATATTCCTAATTCCCTAGACCACGAAATATCTATACCCACAATTCCCTAGATTTGCTCCCCTCGTTTAAATCGTACCATTTCCGTGATTATTGTCTTAGGAGGGGTTTGATTATGTCACCTAAAATTTTTCACCTGCTTTCTCTGTATCCAGAAATCTCGTTACGGTTGCACACGACTTTCTCTATCTCAGTTTCTCGATACAACAGTTGATAGATAATGATTGTAACTATTCCAGCAAGAAGTAGGAACGGTATGGAATACAGGAAAAGACGGAAGTCGGAACATTCAGAGTCTCCCTAGGCTACGATTTCTATCGTGTCCACCTCGCCTACCAGTTACTATTCTCGTCCTCGTGTCCCGGACGCTTTTACTCCGAGACTCTCGGCAAATATATCTACGAGCTTGCAGCTTTCAAATCTGCTATACACCTCTGTCTTTGTAGCGTATTCCAATTTTCCTTAAATTCGCTCCTGGAAGGCCAGAATCTACTACCTCCCGCCTTAAGTGTTCGCATACCTTTCCGCTCAAATGGAACATTCTCGTAAAATATAAAAGCTACATAAAATGCTGTACAAATGTTTCTATACATGTACATTTGTTAAGTAAACTTCTGCTTATAATTGTCGTGTTACATATTGAAAGATAATTTACATGTTGCTCGAAGGTAATTTACACGTTACGTACTCGAATTTACATATTATATATTAGAAGATATAAAAAATTATGCTAAGCGATGATGAGTTATAAGCGGAATCATTTTCTGACTAATGGATACATTATCGCGTAAGTCGAGACTGTTAAGAAAAAGCTTACAAATGTTCTACCTCCCGCCGTAACTGAGCGTCTACGAAAACAGACAGTTCTGCAAAATGATGAAAGATAATCGAGTTGTTTTTGCGTGTATTTATTAAATGTACTTTGGTCTACAATTCAGAATACAAAAATGTAAAAAAAGATACAAAATGGCGGCGCAGGACCTCGATCTAAAAAGTTAAGTGGAATAGTTTTGTTTTGAGAAATTCTTTTAGAATAGTAAACGATTGAGGAGGCAAATATTGAAATTACTGGACAAACAACGTTTAGTACTAAAATCCACGAAATTGCGTTAGTTTAACTCGAAATCACGTTTCTGTTCTCGCGTCTGACGATTTCAATTGGACTAGATCCAGAAACGCCCTGAAAATTAAGGAAGAACAGAAATAACTCCGGGGAAAAGCTGCGATAATTGACGCCATCATTTTTTGCAGGGAACATTTATTCGCTTGTGCGACAATCAGCGTTGAAGGAGTGGTCTATGTAAAAGTGGCAATATAACGAGAGTCTGTAAATTTTACATCTAAAACGAATTGAACTCGATGTTACTCATAAACTTAATGTTATCTGCCATATTATAAATTTAATGGCATCTGT